TTGTTCTAGTCTGCTGGAGTGGCCTTCCATTTTGTTTTGTATTTCTGTTTCATTCTTTTTTCTGAGGTTTTCCATATCATGGGTCACTTCCTCTTTTATATTGTTAATTTTCATTTTTAATTCACTTATCTCTCTATATTTATGGTGTTTTCTGTTTCACTTTGGTGTTTATTTAGGGCTCCTATGGTTTCATTTATTTGTTTTTGTGTTTTCTCATATTCTTTATTTTTGTTGTCTTGGAATTTCTTGAGTGACTCTTGTACATTTTAGTTGACCATATCTAGTAACATCTCTGAAATTCTCATTGATTACTTGCAGAATTTCTTCTTTCAGTGTGTTGTTGTGGGCTTCATTTGTTCCTTGGTATAGTTTATCTTTGTTTTGTTAGAGTCTGGATCTGGGTATCTATTTTCTTTATTTCCCTCTGAATCCTGTCCTAATTTATTTTTGGGGGAAGAATGGTTTCCATCCCTTTTTCGTCTTCCCATCATTCCACTTGGTACTGTTTCTGTCCCTGGTCTATGTGTAATTTAGCATTAGCTAACTTACAATAGTAAAACTAACAAAACCAAGAAAGAAGGAGAAAAAAGAAAAAGAAAAAGAAAGAGAAAAAAAATGGAGAACCAAAGAAATCAACAGGGAGAGATGGTAGACAAACAGTGAACAAGACAAACAAACACTTAAAGAAAAAAAAATTCCCCATTCAGGAACAGTAGAATTTCAGTCTTAGTAGTTCTGATGTTACTACTTTAGCATCCAGTCCTGTTTGTCTGCTTCTCCTAGAAAGGTTTGGAGCCAGTGTCTGGTGTCGTTGGAGCCCTCCTGTGGCAGGCAGCAGCCTGGCAGGCCGGTGGGTGGGCAGCAACACGCCTGTTCTTTCAGTGTATTGTGATGTGAAGAAGACTTTCATGAGCTAGGGGTAAAGGGTGCTGAAGTTTCAGCTCTCCCTGGTGCTTTACCTCAGCCAAGTGTGTCTCTAGCATCTCAGCAAGGTCCCTGATTCCCAGAGCTCACACAGTCTGCGTCTGTGTCCCAGTCGCCATTTTGGATCCTCCTGCTGCCTTATTCTTGCATGAAAAAAGTCTAACCACTCTAAAAAATGTCTTTTCTTAAAAATCCTTAAGTGAACCTGCCCACAGCTGTTTCTAGAAGCTTTATTCATAATTGCTAAATCTTGGAAGTAACCAAGATGTCTTTTAGTAATTAATATGGTCATACAGACAATGGAATATTATTCACTGTTTAAAAATTAGCTATCAAGCCATGAAAAGTCATGGAGGAAAGTTAAATGCATATTTCTAAGTAAAAGAAGTCAATCTGAAATAGCTATATAGTGTATGACCCATGTAACATTCTGAAAAAAGCAAATCTACAGAGACAGTAAAAAGATCGGTGATTGTGAGGTATTTGTGAAGACAGAGAGATGAATAGGCAGAGTACAGGGGATTTCAGGGGCAATGAAACTGTTTTATATCATACTATACTGGTGGCTACGTGTCATTACACATTTGTATCAAATGTACACCACCAAGAGAGAACACTACTATAAACTTTGGATGATAACCATGCCTTTGTGGAAATTCATTTGTAACAAATGCACCACTCTGATGACATTGATAGTGGAGAAAGCTATGCATGTGTGGGGACAGGAAATGCACAAGAAATCTCTGTACTTTCTATGCAATTTGCTGTGAACCTAAAACTGCTCTAAAAAAGTAAAGACTATTTCAACAAGAGTCAACAGGTAAAGGGTAGTGTGAATTGCCTGGAACAGCAAAATGAAAGTGAGCACCCCTCCTCTCAGAGGGTGTGACCCGTACTTCTAAAGTTTCTTGGAGTGATATTTCAAGGTTTCCCATTAGAAAATCAGGCACCTTGGACAGTAACCAGACTTGGATCATTTGAAAGGTACCTGCCCAAGAGAACTGCCTATAGGGTGAGCATATGCCAGAAAAAAGAAGCTGGGGACTGTACCTTCTAATGAGAGACCAAGGAGGAAGCTAAGAGTTAGTGGACAGGCATCACATAGACTAGGGAATGATACAGTGGGGGTTGCTCCTACCCAAGGGGTCTTCAGAGAACCCACAAAAATACCCCATTTGAGGAAAATCCAGCATCAACACCAAACTGCAACTGCACCTGTCAAGAAAGGCTCTTCTGCTTTTATCTAATTTGTGATACAGTAAAGCAGAAAAATCCATGCACAGTCAAATGGTGGACAACAATGAAAACTGTCTCAGCCTGGGCTGTGTAGGCACAAGAGTCCATTTGGGATTGGGTAGAAGGGTAGGCAGGTTAGACACATCAGCTTACAAAAGATGGGCTTCACCTGATCCTCAGAGAGACCCAACCAAGAGGAAAATACATATGCCCCTCTGTTTTCTAATGATCTTCCCATCTCTGTTTGCTTTTTAATTCCACAGGCTTAGCCTTTGCAATGCTGGCAGCTGTGCCTCCAGTGTTTGGCCTCTATTCTTCATTTTATCCTGTTATCATGTATTGTTTTCTTGGAACCTCCAGACACATATCCATAGGTAAGAGCTTATCCTTGATATTCTAGTACCTTTCCTGTTGGATTTCCAAGCTGTACACTGTGCCAAAGAAATAGTGTGGTTGTTATCAGAACATCTGTTTAATAATAACTTTTGTTACTCCATATACAATAGGTGCTTTAAAAAACCTACTTCTCTTGACTGAGATTGTAGGTCAGTGGTAGAGTGTGCTTGCACAGCATGCATGAGGCCCTGGGTTCATGCCCAGCACTGAGGGAGATTCATATATATTCTCCTCCCAAGATTTCTAAAATTAATAGCTTTCTTGTAATCTTGGGATAATAAAAAAGATAACTTTCTTTTGTAAAAGAGAAATTGTTGAAATCTGTAAAATTAGATAAATGCTTTATTTCCTAATACAATTTGCTTGTGTCTGCTTTTTTATTTATTTATTTATTTTAATAGTGATACTTCAACTTCCTAATTATTATAGATGTATATCATTTTCATCATACTTTAAGTTCTTCCCTTTAGTATATTTAGGATCAGATGCATATGGATTTCATAACTGTTGATGTTTGATAAGGCTATCCCCAGTGAACACTCAGTATTTCAGATACCTATTGCTGGGTAACAAATACACCATGTATTATATATCATATTTAAAATAAATTTATCTAGGGCAAATACAGCAATGTGGTTGGACTTGGGTCACATGACAAGGGGAGAGCACATACGGGAGGAATGGGGATAGGTAGGAAACCCAAAACATGAAAGTGTTTGATGTCCCCACTGCAGAGGAACCGATACAGAAACCTTAAAGTGACAGAGGTCAATATCAGAAGGGTGTCAGGAACTAGTGAAAAGGTCAGTTAGAGATGAATCAACTTGGGTTGTAACACATTTGTGCACGGAAGCAATGCTAGGAATCTCTATGTATAGCTGTCCTTACCCCAACTAGCAAACATGCTTTGACTTTCTTATTATTGCTTATGTCTACTCTGCAACAAAATTAGAGATAAGGGCAGAACAGGTTCTGCCTGGAAGCGAGGGGGGGAGTGGAAGGGGGCGTAAGTAGGGGGAGAAATGGCCCAAACAATGTATGCACATGTGACTAAATGAATAAAATAAAATAAATTTAAATTTAAAAATCAATAAGTCTGGGGTGTAGCTCAGTGATAGAGCACTTGCCTACAAGTGAGTTTGGTCCCCAGGATGAGATAGATATATAGATAGGTAGATAGATAGATAGATAGATAGATAGATAGATAGATAGATAGATAGATGATAGATAGATAGATAGATAATAGATAGACAGAAAGGAAACATGAAAAATATCATCTTTTCTGACAGAGCTCATCTGGGAAATTCTTCCATCACCCTCCTTCCTTTCTTCTCCCTTCTTCCTCCCTTTTTTCTCCCTCCTCTCCATCCCTCCTTCCAGGTAGTCCCAGATATTTACATGACCTAGCTGGAGTTTTCTTGCACATAGTGGCCTAGGCTTCAGCCTAAGATCTATAGCTCTCTGATGGAAGCTGTACCTGCCATCTTTTATTACCTAAACTCAGAAGTCACACAGTGTCACTGCTGATACATTCTTCTGGTTACTAGCAAGTCACAAGCCCACCCAGATTCAAGGAGAGAAAACTAGATTACACCTCTTGGTAGGGAAATGTCAAGGTTCCAGAAGAGTATGTGGGAGGGAAGATACTGTTGTGGTCATGTTTGGAAAATGCAGTATGCACATATACCAGTTGCCCACACCAGTTGTCCCACAGTTGCAGGACATTCAAGGAGGGCAGTGCAGTCTTCTTTCAGGAATAAGTGGCTGACCCTACCTGTGTCTCTTACATCTTGGCAACAAGCATACCAGGTACACTGGGCATAGTTTCCCTGAACTCCTGAACAAGGACCATTCTTGCTTCATCATTTCAGGTCCTTTTGCTGTTATTAGCTTGATGATTGGTGGTGTGGCTGTTCGATTAGTACCAGATGATATAGTCATTCCAGGAGGAGTAAATGCAACCAATGGTACAGAAGCCAGAGACGCCTTGAGAGTGAAAGTCGCCATGTCTGTGACCTTACTTTCAGGAATCATTCAGGTAAGACTCAAAGATGGGAAAATGGACTCTGGTTTGTTCATCTACTAAATAGAAATGTCTTGGCTGGTCTCACTACAGGGAAGTCAGAGCTCAGGGTTCATGACACTCAGGAACACCAGTCTAATTGCATGCCTTATTTACAACTAGGGGTGACTAATGAGCTTTCATTTGGGCACTTTAGAGAACCCAAAACCAGGATTGTTGTCCTGGGAACATGACAAGCCTCATCTGTTTGTGAGGAATGGCCAATGATCACGTACCATGACTGATCATGTACCATGACTGAGCGTGTCGCTGGTCACAGGGAACCCAAAAGGAAGGAGTGTGGTCAAAGCTCTGTGGGACTCAGAGCCAGTGCAAACCTTCCATTGTTTTCCCTATAACCAGTGATTGATTTGTTAACCACTAAATTGCTGCAGGTACCAGTCTGTAATGTTAGAAAATGAACCAAGAAGAACTTATATGTTTTCTGTTGATCAGCGCATCCTAACCTACCATGTTGTTTGTTTCTTTGTCATTAAAAAAATAGTTTTGCCTAGGTGTCTGCAGGTTTGGATTCGTGGCAATATATCTCACAGAGCCTCTGGTCCGTGGGTTTACCACTGCAGCAGCTGTGCATGTCTTCACCTCCATGTTAAAATACTTGTTCGGGGTTAAAACAAAGCGGTACAGTGGAATCTTTTCAGTGGTGTATGTAAGTAAGCCACTCATGACTTCCTGGTACTGGACTTTCCTTCATCTTTCCATCTTCTCTTTTGTATCCTTTTACCTTCAAGACCTTTTACTTTTTTTAACCAATAATTTCTATAAAGAGAAAAGACTTAGTTATTCTAAAGCTCTCTAAGAAGAAATCTACAAGAAGTAAACCCTGTTATTGATATGTGATGCTGCCCATTTCACAAGGAAGTTTTGGTTAGGTCTTCATTTCGTGACTGCTCCATCACCCTAATTAAGTGAAAAGATAGCTTTTTCTTAAGACCACATTATGTTCTTCTTGGGTACTGACAATTAACGACCACAATGAAACACCTATCTCTTAAAAAACTGCTAACTCAAGGGGGTCAAAAAAGTATAAGTAGGTCTATAAAAATTAATTAATATAGTTGATAAAATATTCATATGCTGTATGCACAACTCAGAAGAAATATAAATTATTTGCAAGCACATGGGGAATGATGGTAGTGACTGATCAGGGTGAAACTGATTCTATGAAACTGATCACAAATTTTAAAGGTTCAACATATTTTCACACAGTGCAACATAACTAGAAATCAGTAACTTAATATAATTTTAAAACCCCCATACTTTTAGAGGTCAACTAATACATTTGTAAGTGGCTCATGAATAAAGAGGAAATTAGGAAATAATTAGAGCCTATTAAGAGTGAAATACCTGTAATTCTATCTACTTGGGAGGCAGAGATCAGGAGGATCAGTTAGAGGCCAACGTGGGCAAATAGTTGGTGAGACCCTATCTTGAAAATACCCAACACAGAAAAGGGCTGGTAGAGTGGCTCAAGTGGTAGAGCTCCTGCCTAGTAAGTGTGAGGTCCTGAGTTCAAACCCCAGTACCACTACCACCACCACCACCAAAAAAAAAAAAAAGTGAAATACTTTGATGGGCTGGAGGCATGGCTCAAGTGGTGGAGCACCTGCCTCTCATGTGCAGAGCCCTGAGTTCAAACCCTGGTACTGAAAAAAAAAAAACCTTTGGAGATATTGCTGTAGCCATTAAGGTATTTATTTATATGCCAGACACTATGCTGGGCACTGAGATACAGCAGTGAGCCAAGCAGACACAGCCCTCACTAACAGTCTAAGGAGAGCACAGTTGGTAAACCATAAATTGCAAAAATATGTAATTAGTTACAAATCATGTGAAGTGCTGTGAAGAAAAGGTAGAGGCCACTCTGAAAGTGTAATAGGGAGACCTCTATATTAGGCTTCTATGAAAAATCACTTTGAGGAAGCGACATTTAAATTTGAGTCCTTGATTGATTAAAATAGAATCAAACTGTTAAAATATCCCTAAACAAATTGTTAGTTTTCCATTGTAGCTGGTAATGTACTTTTTAGTCCAAGACTTCTCAAAATGCCTGTCAGGAAGAACATGCAACATGCAGGTATGCGTAGGCTGCTCTGGGCATCCGTAGGAAAGGGCTTGTGACCTGGGCCTGGAGGGAGCCTGCTTTGTGATGAGAAATGACCATGTTTGGGGACCCCAGACTGTGGTTCTAGGATATAACTGTATGACTGTCTTCTCTAACTTTCTTGGCCTTCTTTCCCAATTTCACACTCTGGACTCCAAAGCCCACCTGACTTCTTTTTTACCTGCTAACAATAAATTCACCCTCTTCAAGCTCCTAAAAGCTTTTCCATGTATTTACCTCTGAAATATTTTTCTGATGTCAACCCTTAATTCTTTCCCAGTGCTCACAACTTAGCCTCAGAATTATTCTCCTGAAACTTATAATACTTCATTGAGAAATTAACATATCAAAAAGCCTTAAGGTTGTTGCAAAAAATTGCACTTATAAAAGAAAAAAATTATAATTATAAAATTGTAAGATTAAGTGAAAATGCCTCATAATTGGTGCAAGTCACAAGACAAAGGTGTCAACCTAATTGAGAACCTTTTTTTCTTTTTTTCTTTGGTGCTGGGATTGAAACCAGAGCCTTGCACATTCCGCTACTGTGCTCCATCCCCAGCCCCTGCTCCTGTGCACCTTCCCACCCTCTTTAAATTTGAACTCATCTGAGGTGTTTGAGATTTTAAATTTTTTTCTCTTTTTAAAAAATTTTTATTAGCATATAATGGTTGTACCGGGGGTACACTGTGACATTTACAAAAGTGCTTATAATATATCTTAGTTACATTCACCTCTTCTGTCTTTCTCCTTTGTCTCCCAGCCTCCCCTTCTTAGAACAATTTCAACAGGTCTCATGTTCCATTTGCATACATGAATACATAGTACTTCCACCATATTCCCCCTCCTTCACCCTTTCCTTGTGGAGATTTTTTTATCGTGGTAAAATATATATAACAAAATTTACCACTTTAGTTTAAATTGTACAGTTCAGTGGATTAAATATACTTACAGTGTTGTACAACCATCCATCTCCAGAGCCCTTTCATCATCAAATAGAGGCCCCACGCCAATTAAACAGAGCTTCCCATCTCACCTCCACCCAGCCTTGGCAACCTCTGGTCCACTATCTCCTTGACTTGCCTGTTCTAGGGTCCTCATTTATGTTAAGTCATGCAATACTGGGGTTGTTTCTTGATATAAACGTCCAATGTTCACTGTGTTACAGAGTACAGTTGCTGTGTTGCAGAATGTTAAAAACCTCAACGTGTGTTCCCTAGGCGTCGGGCTGATGGTTTTTGGTTTGCTGTTGGGTGGCAAGGAGTTTAATGAGAGATTTAAAGAGAAATTGCCAGCACCCATTCCTTTAGAGTTCTTTGCGGTAAGTCCACACAAACTGATGGCCTGTTTAATTCCACTACCACGTGCACTGGTTTCCACAAGGGATTCTGAAGTGGGGAAAGGGGAGCAGGGAGTCAGAGGATATTTCTTCTCTCAGTTCTGCCAAAAGAACTAACAGAAAGGTAAAAAGAAAGCATCAAAGTGTAAACATAACTGACTTTTAAAATATAGGTGACCATTCGTACAGATTTTTACCTAATTATCTCTGAGTGGTGGGATTTGGAGTGTTTTCATCAAATTTTTATTATCTCATTATTTTGCAAAGAACACATATTACTTTAATAACCCAAGAAAAATAAAGCTACTTCCATTTTGAAAAGAGTAAAAGGCAAATGGTCCCAGTCGTCCTCAGTTCCCTGGCTCTCTGAAGCCAAAAGAAATATCTAGTTAGGTCCAGGCATCTGAATGTATGTTTATGATTGACAGTAGCTTTTTGTAAAGAAAAAAAAAGTATTTAATTGGAATAAACAATATTTTATTATTTTCTTAAGTAATCACAATTATTTATACATGTCTATTCTACTGCCTTCATCTCCTAGTCACATGGGTGGTTTTTGTTTTTGCTTTTTTTTTGGCAGTACTGGGATTTGAACTCAGGGCCTTGCACTTACTAGGCAGGGGCTATAGCACTTAAGCCATTCCCCATCCCTGTCTTGCTTTATTTATTTTTCAAATAGGGTCTCAGTTTTTGCCTGGGGCCAGCCTTGAACTCTGATCCTCCTGCATAACCTAGATTAAAGATGTGAGTCAACACACCTGGCCCATATGGGTCCTTTAAATCACAGCAACCACTGACCATCCACCTTTGCAAAGATGTGGCATTATTGAAAAGAACATCATGTGAATTAACGTTCTGCCTGTGACTTACCTCCAACTAGAGGTCCACCTGGCTGTACTGTTTGCCTGAAGTCTTTAAAATCCAAAGCACCTCCATGAACTCCCTTTGGTATTCAGGGGCTCCTAAGTGCATAGTTTGGGTGCCACAAAGATAAAAAGTAAAAGCTATAGGAAACCTGAATTGTATTTATCCTGTGAATTTAAATACTCTAGATACTCCCCCAGCTGGAAGTGCACAAAAAATGCAATTAAGGGTAAAAAACATGATTGCTACCCATAGAAAAGAATCAGCTTCATCAAAGGGGCCAGAAACACCCAGTCCAGACTCTGACAATAAACTTACCTGAGCATTGGTTTCCTGCAGTGGCCATCCCTATGAGGGACTGGTCCTTTCTTGACCAGGCCTAACTCCTCCTGTCCTAGACAACTGGCTCAAAGTGCTCTGTAAGCCATAATTCCCAGATGGAGCACACTGGATTCTCACCTCTGTTGCATTTCTCTTCCTGTAGCTCACTAAGGGCCGTGCTGTAAGCCTTAAGTAAATCTAGAGCCTGCCAGGCCAGGATGGCCTTAGTTATTTTTCAGGGAGGGTCTCACACTTTTGCTTGGGCTGGACTTGGACCAGGTAGGTGCTTCTCCTGCCTGCACCTCCTTCTAAGCTGGCCCTACTTGAGCAAGGTCAACCCCTGAGACATTTTATGGTCCCTTTCTGTTGCAGTCAACTAGCCAAACACGGCAGCAGGAACAGAGCAAAGTGAAAGAAAAGAATCCCGGCTTCAAGGAAATGTGGAGCCCGTTGTAGTTACATGGGGTAGAGCCATTAAGAGAAGTTAGACCTGCTAGAGACTAACCATAATTCCTCTCAACTCTGGGCAGGAAAAACGAGAGTAGATTTGGCCTGGCTAACAAATTCTTTGCAGCTTGTTTCTGTGACATTTGAATATTCATTTCTAAAGGTGCATTTGGATTTGTGTGTACTAGGTGGTGATGGGAACTGGCATTTCAGCTGGATTTAACTTGCAAGAATCGTACAATGTGGATGTCGTTGGAACACTTCCTCTGGGGTAGGAAAAGTGTATATTTGAAGTGATGGTGTGATTGAAATAATCAATTGATCTATTGGTTCTCTCTCCTGGAATGATAAATGTTTTTGGGGGGCGGTACTTGGGTTCGAACTCAGGGTTTCATGCTTGCTAGGCAGGTGCTCTACCACTTGAGTCACTCTTCCAGCCCATTTTACTGTAGTTCTTTGGAGATAGGGTCTTGATTTTTTCCCAGGCTAGTCTGACCAATGATCCTCCTATTGTATGCTTCCCACTGTAGCTGGGATGAGAGGTGTACACCACACACCCAGTGTTTTCTGTTGAGATGGGGACTCCCAAACTTTTTTACCCAGGCTGACCTCAAACTGCAGTCCTCTCAGTCTCAACCTTCCAAGTAGGTAGGGTTATAGGTGTGAGCCACCAGCACCCAGCTTGACCTCCTTTTTTCCTACATATCAAATAGCTGAGGGTTTTAGGTGTTGAAGCATGCATGTGTGTGTGTGTGTGTGTGTGTGTGTGTGTGTGTGTGTGTGTGTGTATTTCTTGTGGTTAAAGAAACAACACAAAATTTGCCTTCTTAACCACTTTTAAGTGTACAGTTCAGTAGTGTTAAGTAGCATAAAACAGATGGCTGGGATTTTTCATCTTGCAAATCAGAAATTCTACACCCATTAAACACCCTCATTCTCCATCCCTTAGTCCCTGGTAACCACCACTCATCTTTCTGTTTCTATGAATTTGACTACTCTTGGTACCTCAAATCAGTGGAATCATACAGTATTTGTTTTTTTGTTACTGGCTTATTTAATTTGGCATAATATCCTCTAGGTTTGTCCCTGTTGAAGCATGTGACAGTACATTTTCCTTTTTTAAGCTGAATAATATTCTGTTATGTGTAGAGTCTGTGTTTTGTTTCTCTATCCATGAGCACCTGGGCTGCCTATTGCTTGGCTGTTGTGAACAGTGCTGCGCAGGTGTGCAAATATGTCGAGACCCCGCTTTCAGTTCTTTTATGTGTATGCCCCAAAGTGAGATTACTGATTAGAATCTATAGCAGTTCTATATTGAATTTTTTCAGGAAAACCCATTCTATTTTCCATAGCACTTGTACCATTTTGTAATCCCACCAACACTGGGTAATGGTTTTTTGTTTTTCTTAACAGTTTTTAAAGTCTTTCCTTGAGTGACACATGAATTTAAATCCCAGCCTGCCACTTGTTAGCTGTGTGGCCATGGGCAAGTCGCTTATCCTTTCAAAGCTTTGGCTTCCTCATTGGCAGGCGGGGTAGTAGATCCTACTTATCCCCAGGGCAGCTGTGAAAGTGCAGGAGACCAAGCGAGTAGAGCAGGTACAGCACCACACCCACAGCAAGCGGTCAGCCAGGCTGAGTTCTGAGGCTCATTATTGACTGGGCTTTCTAGTTTTTGGTCATTCCCTCCTAACTGCTTTGTACCATCTATAGTATATAATCACATTTTAACACTGGCAATTCCCTTTTATATTTGAAGACACAAGAGTGCCCACCACTGCTGTTCATCTGTCTCTCTCTGCAGCTCTGGTTGTGTCTCTGGCTTTCTGTCTCTTGTACTGTTCTTCCATCTCTTTCTCTCACCATCCTCTTCTCTCTTCAAAACAACAGTCAGACATTGCCTGGATGTCAGATATTGATCCCTCAATCCCTGCCTGTCCTGTCCAAGAGTCTCTTGGGAGGCAGAGGGTGCAGAGGATGCATTCTAAGGCAGAGCTCACCCACAGAGTCATGGTGAAGGAGGAGGCTTGCACTCTACATGCAAACTTCAGCACAGAAAATCAGTTCCACAGGCAGGTTACTTACAATGACTCGGTGTGAAGCTGTGACACAGTAACACCACCTTGTTTTCAATTTGGATTTATGTAAAATACTTTTACATCTATCATCTCAGTTGATATTTATAAGAACCCTACTGAAAATACACTTTATTATCCCCTATTTTACAGAAGAGTCAATTTATTCTTATTTATTCAACATATGTTTATTGAATGTTTATTAGGAAGCAGTGACTGAGCAGTTAAAAACAAAAACACACACAAGGAAAAAAGTCCTTTCCTTCATGGAGGTTATAGTCTACTGGACACAGACGTTCAATCAATAAAGAAATAGTAAGAAATGCTGTGAAAACAAGTGAAGTCAAATAAGGGACAGGAGGGAATGGGGTTGCTGTTTGAGGGAGGGTGACATGGAAGGTGATATTTGAGAGACAGAGATGAGGTTTAGCAAGTTGTTGGTGACTCCTAGTCTGAACCCAGACCTTGGTCTTCTGATACTCACTTGGGTGCTCTTTCCATTACCTCACACCTGGGTCTCTCACACAGTCACGTGGTAAACATTAGTCTTTGATTGGATCCAATAGATATTCCTATTTGGTTAGTAGTTACAAAGAATTTCATTAAATGAGAAATTCTTACACTTAGATTTCTCCTTTTAAAAATAGGCTGATATGTTGAAATTCACATCACCATAATTTTATACCTAATGTCTTCCTTTCCCTATTGTGTTATACCCAAATATGTTGCCTTCCTTCTGTATGTGAGAGCTAAAGTTTATATATATATATTTACCTTTCTGAAACTTGGCTATTCGAAACCTTATCTTTCTGGAACTTGGCCCAAAACCAAGCAGATAACAAATACTTATCTACTTGCCTAAATACCTACAATAATACCATTTTTTATCTGTGGATCTTACTGCTATATAACCCTATAACAGTGGCTTAAAATAGCAACCATTAATTTGCTTCATTAATAATTGTTCAGTCTAGATTGGGCACAGCAGGAATACTGGTCTCCCTTGTGATCTCTCATGTGTCTGCAAGTGTTGGAAGGTGTAACTTTTGCTGGATGACCCAACAAATCCTCAGTCACATTTGGCAACTCAGCTAGAGGGGCTGGAACACCTGGGGGCTGGCTGGCATCTCTGCACATGGTGTCTGTGGCAGGGTTGACATACCCCTTTAATTGATAGCTCAGGCAATGAAAAAGAAAAGTGTAGAATTTGCCAGGCCTCTTAAGGCCTTACATGGCATTACTTCCACTACACTCTGTTGATCCAAGCAAATCAAAAGCCCATCCCCAATTCGCAAGAGGGGACACAGATTCCACATCAGTTGGGAAAAGCAGCATGTATATATAAGTGTGAGAGGAATTGTTGGTGACTCTGTTTGAAAGCAAGCTACTACCCTCTTCTGTACACATTCATAAATATATACACACTGCAGGGCCCAGAAAGTGACAGTTGGCTTTACTGAACTCATTCCAAAATATGTCCTTTTCTTATGTTCTTATTCCTCAAACCTGAACCTGGTTAATGCTTATGCAGCAAAGTGCAAGGGAACAACAACTAATTTTATAGTTAGACACCCTGCTTGACTTTCTATTCCATCTAGAAAAAAATCACTTAACATCTGAAAGCATCCCCAGAATTTGAAATTTTCCTTCTGTCACAGTGCTATGACATGATGAGAGAAATAGGTATAGAAAGGTAGGTTCTTCATGGTGTTTTTATACTTCATAAATGACCTAAAATAAGTTGCTTAACCTTTGCTATGCTTTCCCGTGTTAGAACACAACTGAAGGGAGAATTATGTGGGAAGAGTTAATAGACTCACCTCAGATAACAAGGGAGAGAAGTGCGTAATGTTACAAGGAGAGTAATTCTCCTCTAAATTAGCCCTTGTCCAATACTGTCCCCACTCCAAGACTGGTTCAGATGTCTTGTGGTTTCTGAGCACTCCACTGACCTTCTTTTCCTCCTGATTCTGTGTCTTACTTACACCTACCATCAGGGTGCTGTGAGGTATGAGGTTACTCTTTTTATAAATAACCTGGCATCTGATCTCTACTGATAACCCATCCCAGTAGAAAGCAGACCCTTTGCGGTATAGGCCTGGAAAGAACCTCTCTGTGTCAAGAAGAGTCCTCCTTGTTTGTCAAACCAGAGCAAACAAATGCCCAAGCATTGATCACCCCATTAGCAGATAATGACCCTCAAA